ATCTGTTAAACAGTATGCTGTTTAGCTGGCTTTTTATTTTCAGGGGGGGAAATCAGCAAGTTGCTGTCATGCTATTACAAACCAGTTATGGGCCACATAGTTGGATCCAGAATCTTTTAGGCTGCCGGAAACCATCACCTTTGTAACTACAGGCAGGGCTGCTCTATGGAAAAGGCGTTATAGCATGAGGTATTTAAATATTCAAAAATCTTTTGTTTCTGAGCATTTTAGCCTTGAGATTACATTCTTTTAAAGTTTCTTTTGATTTTCCTATTCTTCAGAAATCATTAATAGTTCTACAAATGCAGATTTACTTGAAGCATTTTATTCAACTTTATTGCACCATATCAGTTGCTGTGTTAGAATGCGTATACAAGGAGATGTATGAAGGAAGACTATATATCCAAAGGAGGGAATGAAACAAGACACATCAAAATCTGGAATGGAATAGAGGAAAGGGGAAGAGATTTAGGATAGCTTATCCTAGGGTATATCTATTATGTTGTAGGTATATAGGATACTACAAATAACTGAACCTTGACTGGATTATTTTGGCAATTTTGATGCCAGGCACAGCCCATAAAACAATCCAGTAACCTTGACTAATCCTTCCATCAGAGTTGCATAGGTTTTCAAGTGCCGGTAGATATTTCAGTTTGATGAAGACTTGCACTAACCTACCATTTAAGATGGCTTCACAAAGTAATGGGACTTTCCCTTGCCCCTAGAGTTAAGTGCCAACACTTTGCTTAATTTTGTCTCTGTATCTGACAATTTCAGTACAGTAGAACCTCCGGTCATGAATACTCCTGACCAAGACCAAATTGTGTTCTGACCCCAAAATTCACAAATTATTTTGGGGCCAATTTCCCCTTCTATGCCATTTTTTTTTTGGTAAGTGCTAAATTTCCAAAAATTAGATTCGGATCACAACCAAATCAGTTTGCAGCCAAAGTTATGGAATGAATTATAGTTGTGACCAGAGATTCTACTCTATCTGCAAAAAGGTTCTGCACAAGTGTCAGTTGAGATCACCAGGTGATGCAATAAGTTTATCACTATTCCACTATTTGTGGAATTCAAATAGTGTTACTTTTTCATAGCACCTTCACATATAAAGAGGTTTGTAGAACTGAATCAAAGCCAATTTGATCAAGTTCATAAGTCCAACATGTATTTAAATAATATTTTTCAGTAAGTAAGAATACAATTATGATCTTCACTCAAATGTCCAACTCTTCTGAACAGCGGTAAAGATTAAATACCATATTTTTCAGAGTATAAGATGCACCTTTTTTTCGAAAAGAGGGTGAAAATCTGGATTCATCTTATACACTGAAACCCTGCTCTGTGCATCCTGTTTTTCACAAAAATGGACGCGCAGAAGGTTTGGAAGGCCTGTAGAGTGCCCAAAAACAAGTGAAAATGAGCCCATTTTTTTCATAAAAATGGGGGAGTTTTTTGCTTGTTTTTGCCCTTCCCAGCCCCCTGGAGCACTTTATAGATCTTCCAAATCCTCTGCATGCCTCATTTTTGTGAGAAATTGCCCACACCCTCCACATGTCATGTTTTTGCCCTCCCTGGCCCCAGGAGCACTTTGCAGGCCTCCCAAACTCTCTGCATGCGCCATTTTTCACATGTCCTTTTACTAGAAGTATAATCTTTTAGGCCAATGTAGATTGGTTATAATCTGCCCTGATGAGCTGCTTTGTGTTGCGGTTGGAATTGCTTTCCTCAAGATAAGTTTAGATGTGTGTTTCTCTTCTTTGATGCTGGGGTTTATCAGCTTATTTCCCAATCCAGCTGCACCATTTCTAGAAAAAGGTACCACTTCATTATTTTTTTACAATGAGTTGCTTCAGCAACTCTTTGATGAGGCAATGTGCCTATACAAAAAAAATCCACATGGTCCTACGGTTTTTATGCAACTGAGGTCATCATGCTGATTCAAAAAGAAAATATGAGTTTAGAGGAATATGGAGATAACCTTGATGAAAAATTTCAAGAAATGTTTTGGGAAAGAGGAAGGATTGAGAGGAAAAACTCAAAATAGTCTTGCTTTAATGCTACTTGGTATAAAAGGGGAAGAAAATCCTGGCAGGTTTCCATGATTCTGTTATTAAATCTTACAACAATAAAGCAACTTTCCTGTAATTGTGATGGGTGCACCTCTGGATGCGCGTCTGATCTCCTTTCCAGATGCTAGTTCAGAGGAGGAAGATGAGCCATTCCTGGCACCCCCAGGAGAGACAGAGCAGTGAGCCCAGAGGCTGTTGGCGATGCAAAACAGGAAGCAGAAGCTCCATCTTGATTGAACAACTGCAGCTGGAACAACCAGATGGCCAGGTGGGTAAACTCGGGCAGTGAGAATCATAGCTGCAGTAACAGCCTCCAGGCAGGGAGTAAGCACAGCCACTAGTGGCTAGCGCAGATAAGGAGAAATTACTCCTTCCCTCGAATCCAATGGTACTCAGAGCAGAGAGGTGATAGGAACAATGTCAGTCAACCAGGCTATTCACAAGGTTCTTAAATTCTTAAATTTGTGTAATTTATTTCTTTTTGTAAGTTCTTAACCACATAATTTAAATTTTCTTTTATTTAAGAATGAAATTCACCAGGTGGTTTTTCAAATTTGCTGTATTGAAGATCTGTAATGTCTTTATGTAAACAGGTATTTTCCAAAAGTAATTACAAAGTCAGTGAGTGAGTTTGGTGTCTTTTAAAAAGCTTTGAAGCAATTTAAGAGCATGATGGTTCCCTTTGTCCCTTGGAACTCAAATCTATAGGAAACAGCTATCTTGTAATCTACTTGTGAGGAGCAGCTGTCCAGAGAACAAATAAGTGATTCAACACACTCTCTTTATTCCGAGAGGTTCTATAGAACCAACTTACTTGCCAATCTTAGCTATGCTTTTCATCTCTCTAATTCAGAGACATATTTTTTCACCATTTATTATCAAGAAGCTCACTGCATTCGCAATTTTATAACTAGATGGTGCCACTGCTTCACTAAAATAATTTTTTAAAAAATATCTTATTTGATGGATAGTTTAATGGATGCCATATAGCTTCTCTTTTCTATTCCTGAAATATTTCAATACAATCGAGTAAATGATCTCCTATAACTATTATGCATTTATTTTTGCTTACTGAATATGTAAATCCTATATTGTTTTCCTGTGTTACATTCACTATTGAGTTAAACAATGAAGTTTTTTTTTAAAGCAGGGCTTAATTCATAGGTTCTTGTAAAAAAAAATAAAAAAACAAACTTTAAGTGTCCTACATTTATCATCTTTTTGATGCAAAGGCTATTTAGACCTGCTTTCTTCTTTTCTCCTTTTATCAGTTAATAGGCTTGTATTAATTAGTACTAATTGCTTTTACTTTGTTTATTTATTACTTTAAGCCTAATTAATATAAATGAAGTAATTAGAAGAATGAAGCTGGTGTTAAATCTTATCTCAATAGATAAAAATGCTTTGGTATATTTTCCTTTTCTTGTTTTTTTCTTTATCTAAAATGAGCATTGCTACCCAAAGAATTTACATTGATTTTATTGTAAAACAATGTCCTATAGACCCACAGGAAAAGTAGTCTTATTAGTTTTCATCAAAATCTGACCTCTTCTCTTCTTAAAAGTAGAAGTGTATGTTAATAATTGTGTCTCTGATCTCAGTACTCTAATGCCAATTGTAATAATGTGTCAGATCATGTGCGAACTGGCTGGATGCATTGCATTTGCCTTCTAAACAAGACAACCAAATAATGATAATCTCCCAGAAATGTCAACTGGGCATATCAGTAGTCTTGTGATAAAAGATTCAAATCTTTTTTTTAAAATCATGATAATGCTTTCTCTCCTCTTTTTATTAATTGCAAGCCCATGAACTGAGAGTGGTAATATGAATCTATTCATAATATCCTGTTTAAAAGGTTTGTGATAACACAATAGACTTCAGTGGCTACTGTGCTATCAATATTGTTTATCTCATATAGAAACAGAACAAGGAGGGGATAAAATATCTGATTATTTCAGGATTTTAAATGATAAATGATTTTCTGTGAACATGCTAAAGATTTCAAAGGTTTCCTATGAAATTTAATTATCCTCTAGATGAGAAGAATGAACTTTTTCTGACTGTAGACTCTTTTTTTAGCCAAATAACAGCACCTACATGTAAGATTCTTTACAGATATTTGCAAAAGACAAGTTGCTTAGGAAAGAAGCCCTAAATTTCTTAAGAGTGGGTAAGCATACTTGATAGACAAGGCTTGTTGAAAGTAGGATAAAGTATCCTGGAAAAGGACAAACATCTTTGTGTGTTTGTGTTAGTTGTGGGTCTCCATTTCTTAAAGTAGCTGGGATTGTGCAGCCTTGCAGGAAGACAGGGCAATTCCAAAATATGCAGAATGCTATGGTACCTTCACCCAGCTTTCTTTTATTTATTTTTAGAATTTATGTGCCTTCCCTGTCTGCTTGATTCTTTTTAAAGCAACCTTCCTCCAACCTGAGGCTTTTTCACTAGGAGGTAGACTTTAAATAATGGGTGTTGTAAAACCATATCTAAAAGGTGCCAAGTCAAGGAAGAATATATTAAGTTTCTGACTTTAAGAGAGAAAGGCAGGTGTCTCAAGCCTTGTTCCCTGATATGCATCTTTGCTTGCAAGCTTCCCCTGGAGGCTGTCCTTAGCTTGGCCAGAACGCTGCCCTTTTGAACTTGGTCTTCTCCATGGCGAAGAGCAGCTAAAGTTGCTTCCCCTTGCGAAACGGAAGGTATTGTGTCCGTGGCCATGTTTGATGCCAGTTGTGGGGCTGGGCGGGAAGAGAGGAGAGCATGTGGGCTAACAAAGTGGCTTAATCAAGAGCACCGGCTTCCACCCTGAGTCGCCAGTTCCCAGCTCCCCCGATCCTCAATGAAAGAGCGGCGTCCAAATAGCCCGCGCTCTATTAGTAGTACTCCCGGTCCTGATGTCACAGCAAGGACATCACAAGGAGGAGTCAGATTACACTAAGACTGGGCAGTGCAGCATGCAGCGGGAGTCGGCGCTAAACCAGAGCTGGATTGTATCGGGGGAAAGCCTGTCTTTCAAGCCTTGAGCCAAGGAGGCTCACGCCGCTCGCTCTCGGAGGCTTGGAAATTTCCACATCATGTAGGATGAGACAGACTCGCTCTGCTTCAGGCGGCAGCAGCAGCTCGGCGCGGGAGCTAATGCTGAGCAGCACCCGGCGGTGGAAGCTGGCGTGCCCAATTAATGAGAAACATAATGTATTTTGGTAAGTCTCTTTCCACTCCGGCTTCCTTCTTTCGCGACGGATGTCAGCGATAACCTGGGAGAGGGTTTTGAGCTCTTACCTTCCTTCTGTGGCTGTGCCTAGACTTCGCCTTCGAGAAGGACGGTGGAGGCGTTTCTTTCTCCCTTGAGAGCAAAGGAGACACGTCGATTGCCTCGGGAAAGCTGATTTTCTTTTGCCGGTGGTAGCTCTGCCGGGCTGACCTGTCTGCAGAGGGAACGACGGCCAGTTCCCATGTTACCCCCCCGCCCTTCTACCTTCAAAGAAAACCTGGGTGCCAACCGCTGTTGCAGGGATGGCGAAGCGTGGGAAGTTGGAAGCAAACTTAATGCCATAAGGCACAACCGGGTTTCGCTGCTCTTTTAAGGATTCGTTGCGCTCTCTGTAAACTCTTCCACCTTCCCACTTTACAGAGCTTTTACAGAGAAAATCGCTGCTTTCTTTGCAGAGCTTTGGATTTCTTTGAGTATATTATTTTCCCCCTTCCTGCCATATTCCCAGTGATGGGGATGATCTCCCCACCGAAGACACGAGGCGAAGATTTGGTATTCGTGATAAGTGTGCGTGTAAAAAAAGCCTTCCGAAGTCTGGGAGCAGTTCAGCGTTTAGGCAGGCTTTAGGTATGATGAAGCCTTTCTTCAGTTGAAGATGGTTGGTTGCATTTATTCCAAGGAATATGCTGGAGCTAGGAAGCCCCCCCCCCCATTTAACTTTAAATATGAGCGGCAGACAGAGAGACAAAATAAGTGGATTAGAGTGTTCCAACAAGGGGGGGGGCTCTCTTGGAGGCAAATGATACAGTATAATAAAATTATAGCTTACCACTCTGATATGTAGGAAAGGAACTAATGTATTTGAAAGGTAAAGGGAAAATATTTTTCTTTCTTTTGGCTCAGTAGCTTAGTGTTCTAGCAAGAATTTAGTGCAACTGATTGATATGCAGTAATACATAGCATTGAGACAAAAACTCCTGAGGATGTGGCTATAGATTTCTTTCATTAAATATTAAATCCAAAGTTGACTTGAACTTCAGGAGGTAGCTCTTTGATGGTTTTCTGTTCTGCTAATATCAGCTCCCCTTGATTTGGACTAGGAAGTTGGTTATGAGACCAGCATGTTTCATACAGCACTTTCCTTTTACTTTAGCTTTACTTTAGTGTTCACTATCCTGAGGCACTGAGAATGGTGTGCTCATCTTCAGAAAACTTTTTAAAATTTCTGAAAAGCCTCTCTTACAAGTGAGGAATGTTCTGTTATATCATCCACAAAGGAGAATTGGGAAATTAGTGAGAAGCTACCTTTTTTCCCCAGGCTTTTTGTGTGGAGCTGTCAGCTCAATGTTTTCAGAGATTTGTAAGAAATTAAGTGCAACCCAAAGTATTTTGTGACCATGCAGTAAATAGAAGGGAAGTTATAGTGCTATGCTATGCAAGTTGACACTTGCTGAAAAGCTGTGAGAGTTTGCTGAAATCAACTTATATTGCTTGCTTTTCTTGAAATGTCCCCTTTAAAATTGGTAGTATGAAATGTGCTGCCAGCTGAGCTTTTAGAATAGATTCTCATTATTGAGCTATGCAATACTTTTGCATTTGATCTTGGCAAAGACCTGTGATCTATGTTATGTCTGATCACAGCTGTGGGATCAGTATATTACTAGGTATAAGTCTTGTGTTCTCCAACAAATAAAATGAATCATTGGCAATGTTTTCATTTATGTATATCCAAGGTTTCAAAAGCTTAATATTTCTTCACCATGGCTTTACTGTTTAAAGTCTTTCTAACCTCTTAAACCCACATAATGTCAGCTATTCATGCATTATTTTGAATATGCATTATGATCATTTTATCACTTTAAACATATTTCTGTTTCCTGAATTGGCTCAACTAATTTGAGGGGAAATATGCATTCCTAGCATTTTTTAAATTCAAATTGAAAGATTCCATATCTTTTTTTCCAATACCAAACATGTTCAGAGCACTGACTGACATCCCTATTTTTCTCTAGCTATTTTGGTAACTATGTCATTCACACTTTCAAAGTCTAAAATTTGACACTTCACCTGTCCCTATTAGGAATCATGTAGAATGAAATAGACTTGGCTAAGTACAATTTTGACTAGAGAAAAGGATAAAAATAGGACATTGCTATTTTAAGTGAAGGAATAAGATACAAAGGAATGGATAACTGTGGTTAGGAAAATGGCATATTAAAGCTTGCATTTTTAATGTAGGTATTTAATGCTAAATAGTATTCTATTTAGAATAAGTTTCAGTTTTTTTGAAAATCTTGCTAATTTCTGCTAAAAATAATTTTATGCAAAACATTAATTTTATATATGTATGTATCTATGTGTGTGTATCTATGTGTGTGTGTGTATGTATGTATGCATGTATGTATGTATGTATGTATGTATGTATGTATGTATGTATAGAGAGAGAGGAAGGGAGGGAGGGAGGAAGACAGAGGAGGGGGGAGGAAGGGAGGGGTTGGTTTCCTTCACTTCTGTAGGCCTTTTATGTCTTCCTCCAATAAGCTATAGATTATGCCTAAGGCTATAGTAACTTTTTCTGCTTGGCTTTTTGCTATATTCTGGCATTAAATTGTCATCTTTAGAGCAGCACCTTTCTTATTTATATGATCATCAGGGGTAGATAAAAGAAATATCATTTTCTTTTTTGTTCCTTGGATATGTGAATTGACAACATTTAGATGCGACATTTAGTTCTCTAAGGAATATAATTTTGTAATTTCAGCACCATTATTAATTCTGCTGAATTCATTGAGATTGGCAAGTTGAGGGTTGGAGTGCTTGTTTCATGACACTGACAGGTTTTTTTTTTAATATAAAGTGCTCAACTTTTTCTATACAATTACTGGTTGCAGCTGGATAGCATTTAGGTTGCATCAGCCTCATTGAATACAATACTTATCAATTTTATTAAGAATGTGTTGGAGAAATTACGATTCTGTCTTATCCCTTCAACTGATTAATTTCCCCTTCTTTGGCAAGGTAGCAGACAGGTTTTTGAGGTCTCAGGCACAGAAGGATCTTTTCTATCAACATTATTGTCATCCTCTATGTTAGTATAAGTGAGAAATAACATAAAATAGTGAACCTTCTCAAGACCAAAAAAAATCTTCTTTTTGGTATTCTGGAGGGTCTCATCCTTGTGCAGATTCTACATAACGAAGAGATACAGTTAGGAGTAATTTTTCATCTGCTTATAACAGGTAATCTTGAATTTAAAAGGTCTGACATAAAATTTAAAGTACAACTTTTTCTTGGGAGTTTAATTTTAATAGATATTATTAAAATATATGTATCCCAGTCTGCTTTAATCAGAAGAAAGTACCTGCTTGCTTATGCAAGGCCATTATCATTTTGTGGTGAATAGCTTTGTTGAGCTGAATGCAACAGTCTTCCTTGTACACAGAAACAGGAAGGGGAAAGGCATTTTGACGGGGATTAGAATCCAGGAGAATGTTACCTCCATGACTGCAGTCATGCTTATGTTGCAATTACATTATTGTGCATGTGTCTTAGGAAACCCAGCAATCTACACAGCATATATATGCATATATATGCATATATAT